AAAAATAAAATAACAAAAATGTAACATACACTACTATAATGGTGTGTTAATTACCTATGCAAATGTAAATCTAAAACATTACAATCTATGAAATAAAAATCACCTAAAACAAGATAGCTAACAGGTATTGAACCTGAAATGATGAATAAAACAGAAATGATTATTTCTGTGACCAGTGATGCCTTATTTTCATCACAGCATCACAGAATTTGGCTACTGCAGAAGTGATAAAGAGTTTCAAATCTTCTAGAAGATGATTCACATAGATATTGTCTGGTCTTCCTGGAAATTTACCTATTAGGGACAGAATATAAGCAGACCTGATATCCCTGTAGAATTTACAATGAAATAATACATGCAAAATGATTTTGATCTCCTTGTCACCACATGGGTATAGTATCTGTTATCTACCCTTCCTTGTATTCTTACCCAGATACTCTTAACTGGACTTTCATGCTTAGATTCCTGGATTTCCATACTCCTGTCACTCCTCCTCCTTTTTCGTCTGCCCTATTCTTTCTGAATGTTAGACCCTTCAGTCCTTGCATGCTAATCATGAATTTTGTCCTACCAGTTTCAGTAATGCCTTCTGAATCATAGTTTCCTTCCTCTATCCTTATCCTTCCTTAATCAGCTTTACTTTACACCCTTGAGAAATTGGCTGGAAGTTACAAAATCCTATTTAGGATGAACCTATGCATCATGAACATTGGTGGCTTCTCCACCAATCACCCAGTCCACTCCCCACTACCTCTGTAACCTAAATTTACTACAGGTACTCATGTTTGTCAGCCTTATGAGGTAGACCAAATCAAGAAATTGATCCACAGGAAAATTAGAGTGGTATTTTATTGAGATAGGCTATAATCACCAAATCTTGCAAGCCTGATTGTGCTTATATCTATATCTAATATCAGCTTACACATTATATTGCTTATAGCCTAGTAAACCAGGAGGAGCCTGCCTGAGTCTTTTCCACATACTATCTTGCTCCCCAGGACTTAAGGTATGTTTCAGCCCTCTTTGCTTATGTAACAGTTCTCGCCTATTTCCTTCAAGTCATCTCCTTGACTCTACATCTTACAGCAACAACTGCTTTTTCTGCATCCATCAAGAGGGACGGGGAAACAGAAATACCCATCACTCAATATATGTTGTTGTTACAGGAGGAAATATGATACAGGCCTGCCATTTCTAGTGACAGCACTCTGTTCTTTTAAACATAGTTCTGCCACAATATTAAGTGAAGAACGTGATGATTCTACCCCAATTGCCATTCTTACAATCAAGCCTCTTAAGCTGCACAATACATATTTATAACCTGCCTTTTGTTTATTCAACCAGATGGAACATTAGGTGGTTGTCTTCCACCACAAAACCTTTTTTAGGTGAAAACTGACCCTCCTCCAGTTATCTGTGGGCAAGTGCTAAAAGTAGCCAGATTAAGCATCGCAGTTATAATATAATTTAAACTTCAACAAGGTGTGCAAACGACTGCAAACAACTGCTGGAGATATCTTGTCTTCAGAAAACAGAAGGTAATGTCCTTGTTCCTTCTGTTCTGTAAAAAGCTGCCTTCTCCTCTGATTAGGCTAAATGCAATACTCTGTCTTTCTGCATCTGCAAATTTATGACTACCTTGAATGCTGATAACAGAAACTTGAACTAGGGATTTAATCCTGATTCATTTATTTTACTAACAGGAGCTGAATTGCCTTTAAAATAATGCCCCTTCACTGCTCGGATCATAACCTTCCTCTTAACAGAACCATGTGTTGGACTTGGATCATCAAGTCCTAGCTGCTATTAATCATGTTTACTAGGAATGTTGGGATTTGTACTCCAAAGCATAAGGAGAATATGTTGGGGCGAGTTGCCTCAAAACATTTCTCTGTGGATAGTGCATGCAAGGTAAATAGAAGGATAAATAGAATCTGTGCAAATAGGTTAACTTCTGTAGTATTATATATGTCAATGAGCATCTATCAACATTCCATAGATAAGTTGCTGCTTTTGTTAATTGTTGGGCTTAAGGTTTGGGGAGAGATGTTTTGAAATGTATCTGCTACTGGTTATTTATTTCTTTTATTGTTGCTGTGATTTATGTCTAATGGTTTGTGGTCTTTTAGATTTTCATTATCTTAACATTTTTGTAAGGTATATTCAAACTAACTGTTATAGTTAGTAGATACAGCTTAATGTGGGAAGGTTTTGTGAGATGAAGAATGGAACCCTTAACGGGTATACTAAAAAGAACTAAAAAGTAGCCCTTACTGCCAAATTAGGATGTATAGGATTGTAGCCTGAATAACTTCCTTTTTCAACAACTCTGCAATTTTATGAACTTGAATAATTTGAAGCAGGGGGAGGCCATCTTATGTCCTTGAGATCTTTTGGACTACAACTCCCACTGTTAGCTATGCTAACTGAGACTGATGGAAGTTGAAATTCAACGTGTTTTGGAAGGTATTAGATGCTTAGTCCCAAAGTAGAGAAATATTGCTGTCAAATATTTAGCAGTTATATTCCTTAAGCAATTCTGTGCATGCTTACCTGGGTAGACAATGCATACAATTGCTCTGATTGTCTGAATCTGACCCATGGAGTAAGAAATCTTACCTTCCATCCACATCTATGGATGCTACCTGACATAAAACAAACCATAGCTCAATTGTCTTATAATGGTATTTGAGAAAGACCTTGAAAGACAGGGCGAAGAGATGCTGCCTAGGGAACAGTCAGATAAGAGAGGGCATAGCCCGCAGCTGCATATTAGATGGAGAAAGAGGCTCAGAAGGGACCCTCCCTAGCTTCCCAGGCTGTAAAGGAGATGGCAGGAGATTTGTACTTTCAGACTTGCAAGATTCTGTTAATGTAGCTTTACAGTAAAATAGAATTAGCTCATCTGGTCCTGTTTCCTGTCTGATCTACCTGAGAAGGCTGACACATCTAAGTCACAGAAATCTTTGTCATGTGAAACAGTTATGTCCATAGGAAGAACTATGGCTTAACATACTATGTGAACCCAGTAACTGGGGGAGGGGGTGTATGTGTCAAATTCCCACTTAGTTATAGAAAATATTGGATGCTTCTCAACTTACCTTACCACGTACAGATTAAAAGTGGGGAGGACCTACCTATGCAGGAAAAGTCAGTTGAAAATGTAAGAAATCAATGAATACGCATACAATTGGACTCCTTATCCTGCAAACCATTCTCTCTACGTGTGGATTCAGATTGCCTTGTTGAATCATTTTATCAAAAGAAGGAATTCCATGCTAGTGATAATTAAACAGAAAAATGAAAGCACCTGGATGTAACCAGCTGACTAACATGAAATGGTAAACAATATTTTGTTGTTCTGCTTTATCCTTAGGGAGTTCTTAACATGAAGACTGTCCTGCTGTATTTCTGTTTCTGTAGCCTCACTTGGGCCCAGGCAGTGAGTATTACTAATTTTAAGCTGCAGTCCTATGTGCACTTGCAAAGGAGTATGTCTGGTTTATATCCAATAAGGCTTCTTTAGATGTGTCCCCAGAACACTGTTACAGTACATGACCTAAAATTCCTGTTCCCATCTACAGTAACTCTTCCAGTGTAAGTGTCCACTGACCAGCAAAGTCAGTAGAGCAGTTGTAATCTAACATATCTGAAGGATGTCATATCTGGTATAAGACTGGATGACATTACATGCACCATAGTGTCATTTGCAAATGACATGAATTATGTAATATGAATTGGTTATGCATGAGTCTGCCCCTAGATGGTGAAAGAAAAGGGTAAAAACTAAGGATGTTCTAAGGTTGTGTCAGTCATGGGCTAGGGGTGAGATGCTGACAATGTAAAGGAGACATGGTAGAAAAAAGATGTTGCTGGAGCATGTTTGTGCCATGATTATGGGAAGAGGAGAAAAGACCCAGAATCTTGCATGTAGGTGAGTGAGCAGATTGATGGTGGTTGGATGGAATTCTCCGTTCCTTCTTTGAACCAAGAATATTAATAGGAAAGCCATTTCAGCACTACACTAAAAAAGAAAACCCTTCTCAGAAAAACAGGAAATGAGAGATCAGATATGCAAATATGTCCTTTTGGGCTCTCTTTTTTTCAGAACAGATGATTCAGCCAAAATCAATCCACTGCAGGATGAAGGCCTCTTCATTAAGGGTTATGGACCATAGTCTACCATGCTGGTCTAGTGTGGGTTGATAGACAGATGTCTTCCCAGTCTGCAGTCAACAGAAAGTGACTAGCCCTAAGTCACCCAGCCTAAGGGAGGACTAGAATCTGGGTTTCCCTGCTCCTAGTCCAGACCATAACACTTTAACCACTATATTACACTGGCTTTCTCTCTCTTTCTCTCTCTGTATGTGTATGTGTGTGTATGTGTGTGTATATGTGTGTGTGTTTGTACACGCAGAATTTGCTGCCAGATTGTAATTATAATTAGAGGACAGAAATCATTAAATTCATAGAGAATGGTCACATGAACAGAATTTATTATTTAAATGTA